ACAACAGTTCGTTCGTTCGTTCGTTCGTTCGTTCGTTCGTTCGTTCGTTCCTTCCTTCCTTCCTTCCTCCCTCCCTCCCTCCCTCCCTCCCTTCCTTCCATTTTATCACCCTCGTTTTATTTTATTTAAATTAATTTTTATTTTTCTTAGTTATGGTTGACATTCAATATTTGTTTCAGGCATACCGCATAGTGGTTAGACTACACAGCACAGTTTCAATTTGGTTTGCTTATAGTCTCTTCCAGAATCCTGATATTCTCCAGTTTTACGAGGAGCTTCAGCTTCTTGATGCTGATTATTCCTGCCACCTGGTGGCAGAATCTGAAACTTCCTTAAGAAACACAAGGATGGAGCTTACCTTTTTAGAGTTAATGAAAGAGGAAGGGATGTGTGTGGTGGAGCAGGGTGTGGAGTGAGCATGAATGATTACAAAGACACCTCTGAATGGATTTTGTAACATGTAATGGGATTGTTTTACACCCACTAGTGTACACACCTTGGCTTTTTAACATTTTCAGGAAGAACAATGCTCTCCCATTTAAAGATTTCCAGCAGAGATAGTGAGAGTGTTATGGGTGTTGATTGGTGCCTGAAAATAACTCTTAAGACACATGCTTCTCTGCTTTTTTTAAAATCGGAGTTGTGGGACTATAATAGGCAGCCCATAATTACTTCTTAGCCCATATCCTCCCTCCCCCCATCTATTTAGCAATTCAGATCACTAGATACCTTAGTATTCCACTGGACTCCTGCAATCATGACTGTGTCCTAAGTGCAAACCTGTCTCTCTACTGAATGAGTAACAACATTGTGGGTGTTGCGAATGAGTATATCTAAACAGATCACAGCATGCCCTTTTAATTTCTCAAGTCAGCTTTAGTTGCTGGACATACTAAGTGACAATCCTACATGGAGTCCCCTCTGAAGGGCCGGGAGTACACTGTCCCTGGTGTTTGTTTCTTATCTGTCTCCCTGGTCTTACATTTTCCATGCTGCTCAAGGAAGTACAGATCCACAATGGGCGTTACAGAGGGACTGAGGTCTTTTATTAATTTCTTCTTTTCATTCAGTTTGTAAACTATATAACCTCTAGAACATAGAAAATTACTGGAATCACTCCTTCCCATCAACTTGTGGTATCCCTTTCCATAGGATTTTACCTGCACACATAGCCACCCAAAATAAAGGCTACATTTCCTGGATTCCCATTTAACTAGATTCTGGCCAATGAAATATAAATAGAAGTGATGTCCTAAGTGGGGTGGCTTGGGGAGGCTCCATAAGAGATGGCTGGCTGGTACTCTTTGTCCCTTCGATCCTCTTCTTTGTGTGGGTGGTTCCACTTGGGCCATTAACTTAAGGGCCCCATCCTGGTGATCAGAATGGTGATCTGGTGTGTGCGTGTTGGGTGTCTGTGTGTGTGTGTGTGGTCTTGAGTCCCTGAAAACTTTGCCAGCACTCCTCCTCCAGCTCTGCACTACCCACTACCTGACTTACACCTGCAGGAAACAAACTTCTTCTTTGTTCCTTTTGGCTTTTGCTTTTATTTGCACCTGGAATGACTTACTAGGTTAAATCCTTTAAAAGTTTTGTATGTGAGAGTAAGAGGCCTTTGAAGTGGGTACTGTGATCCTCCTTTTTACAGACCAGGAAACCAAGGCAAAAATAAGCAAATCACTTGACTCGGGTTGCACAACCAGAAATAGCTGAGATGGGATCTGAACCCAGACATTCCAACCTCAGGCCATGTCATACCTGTAGAGTTTGGCCCTTGGGCCAAGACCTTTTGGCCTTGGGAATATTTAAAAACATAGAATAGTCCACCTACAAATTCCCTTTCAATTAAGAAAGCGTGATTTGAGCTCTAGACATACAGGACAAGAGTAGAAATGATAGAGGTGATAAAAGACTCCAGAAATGCTTGTGGCCACTTTTAAACTATATTTAGGCTCCGGAAGTCATTTCTCAAGCCAGAATTTCTCAAGTCCCACCCCATAGACTGATTTTAAGTAGACTATCCTTTAAATAACACGAGTAAGCAATCTTGCATTTGTGGACATGTCATGCCTTCGTGATTCGATTGACATTTTTCTCCCAACCCTGTCTGTGCCATTCACTTGGTCTCTCCCTCCCCGTGTGGCCCTGATTTCAAGTGATTTCTATTTCTCAGTTTTTGTGGCCAAGATTTCTCTGCGGCAGACTCAACATCACTGTGGCAAGAGAGCTCTTCGTCTGCCTTCTCTATAGGAAGTGCTCTGGCCCCACTTGCTCTTACTGTACGACCGGCCTTCCTGAGGGGACACAGCTGTACTTGAGACTTGAGGCAAGAATGGAAACCTTCACCCCAAGGCGACTTTCATTCTGATCTTTGGTAGGACATAGATCATGTGGGTTTATGAAAGATGGGAATGACCCAGCAGGCAAATATAATGTGGACACAGACCCTGAGGAGTTTCTATGAACTTTAACTGGTTCTAGTGCTTAACACTTCAGAGTGAGTTCTGTGGAGTGCTTGATAATATACCTTGGCTGGAAGGCTTTATACCACTAGAACAGATTTAGATTGGTGGCCAAAGTTGCTTATTTTACTGTCTATCTGTCTGTCTGTCTATCAATTCTACATGTCCGTACACCTTTAAAGCAATCTTCTTAGAAGCAGGCAGTATAGTGCATTCTGAGGAGTGACGCCTTAAATATTGCCATGATGACAAAGTCCCAATACCTGTGACAAAAATGGGAATATAATATCAGTGGGACTTGATAATGTGTAAATCTATATATTTCACACTATGGCCTCTTAAACTAAGAAGCCAGATACTTTGTCTCTTGTTCTCTGCTGAATACCATGTGCCCAGGCATAGAAGTAATTGATAACTGTTTTTGAACAAACAAAAAAGATATTCTTAGAGCCTTTGAGCTGATTATAGTAGAAAGTGAAACAGTGTCTCTACAACTGAGTAGAGACCAAATGGTACAGGACTGCTTTCTCTATTTCTCCGAGAAGGTTTTCTTATGTTCTAATACTCTAAACCTTAGGAGTCTAAATGAAGGTGTCAGAAATACATCTCTAATTTCTGTTGCTTTTCTAAGCTTCTTAAAGTGATCTAACCTTCCTGTATCCATTTCTCTGAACATGGAATGAGACTAGACTAGAGCAACTTCCTCCAGTAGTAACTTAAAATTCCAGAATGCAGCCTAAAGAGATTATAGTCTCAACATAAACCTTAGGATGGCTGCTTTTTGGAATATTGATAAATTATATTATCTATATTAATTGGTGCTGCATTGTGATAAAAAGCTTCGGTTCCATAGTCATACCTGGGTTCAAATCTGGCCTTAATTTTGAGGCCTCATACCTTGTTATATGGGAATGTTATATGGGATTGTGTGTGCATTTATTACCGGCCTCCTGGGATTGTGTGGTTGTTCCAGTGCTACACATAATAAGAGCTTATTGACCTTTATGTTAATTTTATGGTTTAGTTCGCTACTTGCTTGCTTGCTCTGGGGCATATACAGTCCCTTTTTTTTCTATTTAAAATTTGGCTTATAAAAGTCAACATCTGTTTCGTAAGTCTGATCTTTTCAAATTGTTCGAGGTCATTCCTCCCCTCCTCTTTTTACTTTTTTTACTTTTGAAATCTATAAATGTCAAACATTTTAAGATTTTTCTAGACTGTTTTCCTCCAAATTGCATGGACTTTGCGTGGAAGGACTGCCTTTTCATTGGCATATTTCAGAAGCCTTCGATATTTGCCTGCTGCTCCTGAGTAACCTTGTGCCTCAAGTCTTGCGTTTATGCAATTCTTACCGTTAGTTAATGGGCACTGGCTAGACGGTTCCTCCCTGAGATGTTCTTGTTTTTCTTGCGGACCTGTGTGGCTTCGTAGACTAGGTAAGGAGCAGCAGCACTGCTGTGGGAGGAAACCACCTGGTAAACATTGTCACACTTCCCTGGCACAATTCTTTGTCACTTTTGAAGGCCCCGAAGGGAGCTTTGAATTGGGTTTAACATTCTCTCCTTGTGATCTTTGTGAGGCAGGGCAAAGAGAACCAGAAGTGTAGGGATGTAAGGGAAAGGGCAAAGAGGCAGAGTTCTGTCCCTGAAGGAGAAAAATAAAAGGCTTACCATCATTAGATTAAAAAAATGAATTTAAGCCTGTGAGTACTCATAAAACATGGTCTCTATGATCATGTCTTCTTGAAGAAACTACTAGAGGAAGAACTTCAGCTAATCAAATAGTAGATGGAGAAATTGTGGCAACAGGAGTGATAATCTGTTTTGAATCTATTTAATGAATTGAAGTCTCTCACACATCTCCAGGGATTCTGATTCCGGAACAGTGTACCCCTGACAATGCAGAAAAGATGGTCAGAACACTACTTGAAGGAGAAGGAAAAGAAAAGGTAGAAGGTAGAATCCGTAGGCCAATATCTTCATCTGTTAATTTCTGGAAGCTGAAAGAGATTATAAATAGCCGTGTTTAAAATAGAAGGGTAAACACTAAAATGTATATATTCAGTTAAAATCAAGGTGGGTGGGAGAGAAAAAAAGAAATTAGAAAAGGTGTAAAACATACCGATTTTGTATTACTCATAGTCTTAAGCTGATTATAAAAGGAACCATTAAAACAAACACAAAAAATACAAGTCTTCAGAATAAACCAAATAAAAATAAAGAACATGCAAACCATACAGTGAAAAGATTTTTTAAAGCACAATGTAAAATAGGACGAGAGGAGTTAAGAACAAATGAAAATGCCTCACAAATCAATCGGTGGGTTTGATCGAGTCAGATAACAAACACAACACAACCATATTCTGAAAATGACTCAGAGAAGGTAAAACATGCAGGGTCATGATCTTAATTGACCAAGACTGAATACAGGACCAAAAAAGCAATTAACATGTGCAAAAAGAAGCAACGGTCAGAGCATGATCTCACACTCTGAGAAGCATAGTTATCTCTGTACAAATGGCAGAGATAACATAAAGAGATTAACATAAAGGAAACATGGGGAGAAATATAGAGAAAAACATATAGAAAGAGTATGAGAGAGCCTTTAATTCAGTCTATGACAGATCAAGTGGGCAAAGGTGAGGATAATGAAGACCAAAATAACAATTAATAATATAAATATAATTAACATCTGTTAAACTCTACAACCTAAATAGAAAATATATTGTGGCCAAGACTGCTAGTTGTCCTCAATATCTACACTTCTCCATTTTCTTTAAAAAAGAACTCTTGAATTTTAGCAGAGCCTAAGATTTCCCAGAATAGAGGTACATTTCTTAATCTCCCTGTGGCTACGATTAAGTTCTGCCAGTGGAGTTGAAGCCGTGTGCAACTTCCAGGAGCGTCCTAAAGCAAGACAGGTGGTGGGGCCTCTTGAGCTCTTTCAGGATGTTTTAAAACACATAAAATTAAATATATAGGATTAAAAAGAAATCAATTCTATCAAAATATAGTTATTAAAATATTAAATGTTTGATAGAATAGTGTATATGCATCTTCATTAACACATTAAAAAACAAGGAAAAAAACTCCACCAAGGTTCAGTTTGAGGTTTCGATAACTGCCTTGATTTCAATGCCATGGATACAAATTATATTTTGAGGTATTTGTAACAGATATGAATTCTTTTTACTGCTTGTATATATCAACTCCCTGTAGTGAGGGTACTTTTGCATCGCTCACATTCATTTTAAACTAGGCATTCTACCTCCTCTTGGGCTGTGGAATGGAACGAAATGTGTCCCTTTCCCCCTCAGGTCTCTGTGGAAGGCTTCCTGCTCTTCCCCCACCCAAATGTATCTCTTAGTTATGAAGCAACTAGAAATGGAGACATCTGGGAGAATATGAATCTATTTTCTAATTTGTAATTGGATATCTTGGTTTCACTTCTGGGTCTGTCCATAAATCTACTAGTGGGGGAAATCAAACAATACCTAGGAATAAAGACCTTAGCATCTTGAAATAAACAGCAAATGAGTGATGTTTAAACATTCTGCTCAATTGTCTCCGAGTCATATAATTTTTCTAAAAGCAGTCCTTTTTTCTCCATCAGCATTCATCAGAGTTCTGGGTTATATTTAGAAGATGAAATGCAAATTAACCTCCAATGTAATTCTGGGGCCAGGCAAGACAGGCTTACGTAAACTGGACACTAGTGGTTGCTGCATGGAATGTCCACTTGGTGGCACCACTCCACCAAAGCTATAAGATATAGCTACCATGAAGGCCAATGCTTGGCCCCATTTCTGATTGTGGCAGTTATGTTGGCTCTGGAAGCAGGAACCTGATTAAAAAGTTCCAAAAAAGTACCAAAAGGTCAAAAACATGTATAAAATGTCTGTAACATGTGTAAAGAAATAGATGGATTGATGGGTGGATAGGGGGTAGCATAAATGAATAAATATGTGCGAAAGCAAGTATAGTAAAATATTAAGTGCAGAATGTAGGCGGTGGGTATATAGGTGTTCACTATGAAATTTTTTCATCTTTTTTTATGTTTGAAAATTTTCACAATAAAATATTGAAACAAATCATGTTGCTAATTGATTATAAAAATTGAATAAAAGAAAGAGAATGTTAGTCCATAATGATACGCAAGAAGAGAGAGCAAGATGAAAAAAAGAAAATATTTCCAGAAGAATGAGCGGTAAAGAATATTGAAGAAATGAAAATCACTATTTTGCAGTTCACAAAGTAATAATTGATTCAGAAAAGGATCGTCAATGGACGCTAAAACCATTGGGTGAAGTGCATTGGGGAACTGGATATTCACAGAGCCTTGGAGTATCATTCCCCAGATTACTTACTATTTAGAAAGAAAGAAGTGTACCCTTATTACAGAGCAGTCTGCTCATCACCACCCTAACCCAGTCATCACCAACAGTGGAGTTAAATTTCTCCAAGTGCACTTATATATATTTCTTTTTTTACATGCAGAGTTTTAAAAGTCATGTAAAAGTAGAATTGTACACTCCAAGACATCACTGACCTTCTCCTTCTGGGTTGCCTTCCAATCTTATTGTAGCTTTTGATATTTGTGTTGATAATTTGTATTTGATAATGTTTGATTATTTAAGCCTGGTTCTAATTTCCTTGTATTGTTCCTTGCCTTTCATTGCCTTAGTCTGATTAATTCGAATAGAAAAAGATGCTCCCACATGAAGTTTAACTCTGCGTTGGAGAGGGAGAAGACCAGAGAAGTTTCAAGACACCCATGGAGAAGCTAATCCCATCTCAAGGGCAATAACATGGCAATGCCCAGAATTCTTACTCGGGGCCAGGTACAGGCACGGTACTCAGTGCTTCCCCACACATGACTTTACTCAACCTCTCCTTCCTTCGATTCTCTAATATTTGTAACTTTATCAATTTTTTATTGTCCTGAAGCCAAGAATTCATAGATAAGCATCCTTTCTCCTCTCATTAAAAACCAATTTTTATCTCTACTATGGTCCGAATGTTTGCATCCCTCCCAAATTCATTATGTTGAAATTCTAGCCCCCAAAGTTGATGGTTTTAGATGGCTCGGCCTTTGGGAGTTGCTTAAGTCATGAGGGTGGAAACCTCATGAATAAGATTAGTGCCTTTGTAGAAGAGACACTACAGAGACCGCTAGCCCCTTCCACCATGTAAAGACACAGTGAGAAGGCACTGGCTATGAACTAGGAAGAGAGCCCTCAAGAGAATGCGACCGTGCTGGCACCCTGATTTTGAGTTTCCAGCCTCCTAAACTATGAGAAATAAATTTCTGTTGTTTATAAGCTACTGAGTCTGTGATATTTTGTTGCAGCAGCCCTAATGGACTGGGACACCGATTCCATATCTTGCCTCATATTCACTATTCAACCCATTCCAATATGGCTTCCATTCCTACCATGCTATGGAAATCACCCTTGCCAAAGTTATATCAATGACTTCCATTTCCCTAAATCCTTTTTACATTTTATTGGTGGACCACTTCCTCCATAAAATACTCTTGTCCCTGAATTCTGTGATATTACGTTTGCTAGTTTCCTCCTACTACCCTCACTTCTCCATTTCCTATACCGTATCAGCCTTTTCATTCAACCCTTAATGTTATGTACAGTTCTTTGGGGCTCTGTCTGAGGCATTCTTATTTATTCCTGTAACAAATATTCACTGTGCACCTACTATGGGCTAGACACTGTGCTTGTTGTGGGTATTGCATATATAATTCTTGTTCTTAGAGAGTTTAGAAGAAAGCTGTCAATCATAAATTATACAATTGATTAATTATAGTCATGATAAAAACTATAAAAGTTCAAGATACTACTTCTCCTACAGGTTAATTAAAATAAACTTGGCTGAATTTCAGACACCGTGTGAGAGGGGAACTGGAAATGCTCTTTCCAGAAAAACATCTTCCCACAATTGAGAAAAAATAAAATAAACAAGGACATAATCCCTTCGAACCTATCAATTAAAACTAAGATTCTTCTTAGTCTTATTTCCTTCTCAGGTTTGTTTTTAGTAGGCATATCTCCAGTAGCCTGAAGGGATCAAAATTTTGTATCCTCAGAATGATTCATTCAGTATGTGGCTTTTAGCTTCAGTATTTATGCCTGGCTGTCACTCCCCACCCCTCAAACCACGCCCTCCCTTCCTACCATCTGGCTTTTTTCAGAAGCTCTCCCTTGTCCTCTCTCTCCTACTTAATTCTTAAGAAGAAGTCCCTCGTCATTTCCAGCTAAAGTCAAGGCCAGGGACAGTACAGTCAGTGCTTGGAGCATTACAAATCACCTCTTCCTCCCACCTGTGCTTTCTAAATTCTTCCTTCCCTACTTCTTTCTTCCCTCTTTTCTGACCTAAAGACCTCGTGTTCTGTAGAGGAATGAGGAAGTAGACACGTGGGTCAACAGGAAGTCGTTGGTTTCGTGCACTTTTGTCTCTTTCCCGTACTTGCTAGATCCAACATACCACGTAACTAGACCTTTGCACCTCACCTGCTTTGTCTGCATGGGTCAGGCTCTCACATAAGCAATTTTTATTTCAAGTCTCTGTGGCTGCACAAGTTAGACCAATGCAAAGTACCCTGAGGTAAATCAGAACTGGCCTCTATTCCCGTGTGCCTTTCTTTACCACCCTTTCTGCTTATGCCTCTCATGCCCTTCCACATTCACGGCCTTGACTTTTCTGCATAATGTAATATGGAAACAATAATTCTTGACATGACAGCTTGGAGAATTATTTGTGCCCTGCTGGGTATTTTCCTTCTACTTAGCACTGAGTAGAAGCTCAATGTATTTTGTGGAATAAATAAGTGAAAGAATGAAAGCCCGTAAGGGTTCATTTGGAATATTTGGGAAATAGTCTTCAATCCTCGTTGAGGTGAGATCACCTTCTTATGTGATGAATAGCACTTTGTGCACTCTGTGTTGGACTAGTTGGCACTGTTAACTAATTTTAACCAAACAGTAGCTCTCTGTTTCCAGCTGCTAGCATAATGCTTGGCACAATGTCAGAGCTCAATAAATTTTTGTCGAATCAATAAATGTTGTGCTTTATGTCAAAGGGTTTAACTCTTGGAAGAAAAGCAGCAAACAGAGCTTTGAGTTTGCAGAACCAGGAGAATGGAAGGAACATTAAGAAGTCTTCAAGTGCATTTCCCTGCTTCCTGACTTAGCCATCCCTAGTCATCTCTGCTTTGCTCCTGAACACCATGGGAGGCTCCCTAATCATGTGACTCATAGGATTTTAATAAGAAACCTCTATCTTTATTTATTTCCAAAGGACATAAGATGTGTATACTATCGTTCTTTCTTTTCTTTCTTCCTTCCTTTCTTCCTTCTTTCCTTCTTTCCTTCCTTCCTTCCTTCCTACCTTCCTTCATTTTTTTCTTTCTTTCTCTTTTTCCCCCTCCTTCTTTCTCTCTCTCTCTCTCTCTCTCTCTCTCAAAAATTAGATATGCCAAGGCTGTAAGAGGATTCTGGATCATATGTGTTAGCCATGTGTGGAGTGGAATTAGACAACTCCAAATTCAGATCCTGGCTTAGAGTGAAAACTATGCTGTACTATGTCTGCCTAAATCTCTAGTCCGAAGGCAGAATTCTAACCTTCTGTGGCACAATAGAAACTTGAGGTTCATGCTCACAATAATCTGTTATAAAATTCCAAATACTTCCACCTTTGACTTTTTTTTTTTTCAATTTGTCAAATAGCAGTTCAACTAGCAACCAAGGCTTGACTTCTCATCTACATCAGCAGTGTCTGAATGAGATGGGTCGGCAGTACCACCACCCTCATTTTAAATTAAGGGACTATGGAGTGGAAGTTTTATAATCAGTCATGGAAAACAAAAACAACAAAAACAAAACTAGAGCCTGGAAACCAGTCTTGATTCAGACCTAATTGAGGTAAAAACATTTTTCTGAAAACCTCTGGAGCCTAATCTCTGAGGGTTGGGGACATGATTGCTGGACACATTGCCTTGTGAGCCAGTTGAAACTTGTTCCCACGGCTGATCAGGGGCTTCCAATCATTACTTACATAACATTTGCATGACAGTCTTTGTAGGACCAGAGATGGATAACAAACCAGACCTTACTCCATGCAATCAACATGCAGAACCTCAAAAGAAGCCTATAAGATCAAGAGGGAATCTTTTTCAAGACATTCATAGCAGAAAAAAATAGCAGTTAATCTCCTCTTTTCTTCTTTCCTTTTCCTGTGACCGTTAGATGCCTGGATTCTTCCCCCAGTTTTAATAAAACGCAACAGTGATGGCTGTAAGCCTCACAACCTTATCCTTGCTCTATTCACAACTGATCATCAATTCATCCTAGCCTAAGTTACTTTCACTCCTCTGAAACCAGAGATGTGGCCAATACTGTTTATCACTTTCCATACACATATTCCCTTGTGACATGTCTGACTTTGCTATTTAAATCTAGGGTTGTTGGTGACATTAACAGGACGGTGAAATAAGGACCTCCAAAATTCCTCTCCTTCATAAAAACATTAAGAGCACTGGAAAACTGTCAAAATTACTTTTTCAGAAATCTGGAAATTAATCAAAGGCTTACAGAAATTGTTTTTTCATGTAAAACAACTGAATCGCAAATAGCATGATAGCCTTGAAAAACAGTTCTGCAACCACAATGAAAACTGGCTTCCTATCAGCCTATGGAGCGGGGAAAATGGGATTGATACACTTCCAGAGTCCAATTCTCAGATAACGTGCTGTTCCTTCAGAAAAATCTCACAAGGCTTATCTTTATTTGATCCTACTCAGAGCTCACCCACATTATTTCTTTGGGGACAATTGTTAATAGAGGCACCTGTCTGAAGTGGTGATAATAGTTGGAGAAAACAACAAGTTAAGCAAAAATTTAAAGAAAAAAGCTGGGAACGAGTTATGTATAAGGGGCTTTGAAAAACTCTGACATTCCTGGGAATCTAGAAGCCCAGGCACATGCCCAGGGTTGTGTCCATGCCTGGGAAAGACCTGAGAGGACCAAAGTTCTCATCTCTAGCAGATCTTGAGACTCAGCAGAAGCAGGAAGTGCAAGTGAACGGAAGGTTGTATGCAAGAACATAGAGTACCTGCCTGAGCACTGACGATAAGCTCCTAGCGCGTACGCAGTGCCCTCAGCAAAGACGGGGAGTTATTGGTTCCAGGCCATTAGTACCAATTTTACAGAAATACAAAGGACAGTAAGAGAATACTATGAACAACTATATGTCAACAAATTAAATAACCTAGATGAAATGGGAAAATTCCTAGAAACACACAAATTACCTAAACTAACTCAAGAAGAAAGAAAATCTCAACACTATAACAAGTAAACAGATGGACTTAGTAATCACAAACTTCCCAACGTAGATAGAAAGGTCCAGAAAATTTTTTTAAAAAGACAAAGGTGAAAAAAAAAATTTTTGAAAAGGAGAGAAGATAAATCACTAAAACCAGACAAATCTCTACTTTTAATTTTATGACATAAACTTAGTAGTCAGGTCCTTTAGGGCAGGGATAATCAGATTTATTTTTTGTATCCTCTAAAACCAAAAAATATGCACCTTACCTGAATCATCAATACACGTGGCTATTAAGTATTTGAAATGTAACTAGTGCAACTGAGAACCTGAATGTTGATTTTATTTAAATTTTAACTAATTTAAATTTAAAAATGAATAAGAGAGATTCATTTAGTGGAAAACATTTAAGCATGTTTGAAACTTGGGTATGAACCCACTTTTTCAATTATATATTTTATGAAATCTAAATACAGATCGAGTATTTCTGATAAAAATTTAGCACTAAAATTGACACATACTCTAAGTGTAAAAACACTGAATTTTAAAGATGGAATGAAACAAAGAATGTAAAGTATCGCAATAACTTTACATTGATGACATGTTGAAATGATAACGTGAGTAAGTAGCTCCTTTTTTTTTTTTTTTAAAGGAATCATTTCAGAAATGCTTGATGAGAGAAAAACAAAGTCCTTAAATCCATTCCCTCTGAGATGTCATGGAAGTGACATGGATTCTAGTCATCTGGGTTGTTTTCCTTTAGAAATAAGTAAATCTAGGTGTGATCATACAGATTTAAGGAAAGGGTAGAGAACAAAAATTTTTCAAAAATATCCTTCAAAAAAGCACATTACTTTATTGTCATGTGTTTAATTCACTTGTAGGGGAAAAAAAAAAGCACCTAGATAGCTCCAGCTAAGTTTGTCCTCAGCTTCGATATTTGTGAACCGTATAACTGAGAAAGGTTTTGTATTCAGAAAATTTAAGTAACTGTTTTAAATCAATAAGAAAGAGATAAAATCCAGTAAAGAAAATGGACAAGAGACTTGAACAAATATTTCATAAAGGAGGCATCTACTGGCCAATAACATATGAAAATTAAAATTAAAACTCAATGATATAATACTATACACTTACCAGAATCACTGAAATTAAAAAAAGCCAAATATATATTGGTGAGGCTATGAAGTAGCAGGAACTCACACTCTGTGGATAGGAGTGAAAATTGGTAAAACCGTTTAGGAAACCAGTTTAGCCTTATTACAAAAGTTGAAAATATGTGTGTATTCCCAACAGTTTAGCAATCCCATTCCTTGAGTATAAGTCCAGAATAAATTCGTTGCATATGCACCAAAGACATATACAAAAATATTCATAGCTTTGTTGTTTGTAAAAGCTCCTCAAAGCTCCAAACTTAACAACATAAATGTCCAACAGTAAAAATAGACAAATTATATAATATTTATGAAGACTTCCATACATTAATGAAATTGGATGAACTCTAGTTACATGCAACACCCCAGCTGAATCTTAGAATATAAAGCCGAATCAAAGAAGCCAGTTACAAAATGATTTATCTTGTCTAATTCCATATAAACATTTTACAGTAAGCAAAGAGTTGTTCTTGTATGTTTTTACTTACATAAAGCTCAAAAACAGGAGAGAATGGTGCTTGGGAGTTCATCCTTAGACGTAAAAAGCCAAGCAGGAAAGTAATTACCATAAAGTTGGGATAGTTGCTACTCAGGCAGGAGGGCAGGGAGGCGGTTGTGACAGAGGCTGAGGCTTCCCAGCTGAGGGACAGCAATATCCTGTTTCTTCACCTGGGTGGCACCTTACGATAAGTCGTATATTTGGTTCTCTGTGTTTTTCTGCATGTTATGTTTCACAATGAAAAACATTTTTTGAAAAATGGAAAGCCCCCTGCTACAACCTCCTTCTTGCCTCCCCTGAGCCTGTCTCTCTTCCCCGCTCCCCTCTCAGCCAAAGGAAAGTCCCTTCTGCCCTCATTTTCTCCAGTCTCTTATCTCCCACTCATAACACGAACTGCCCTTCCCCCTACCCCCCAGAGCCACCAGTAACCTTCTAGCTGGCAATTCATATGAACTTGTCTCCTTCCATGGGCTCCTCGGTCCCACGGAGCAATCTTTGTTGTGGACCTTGTAGCTTTCTTTTCCCTCAGCTTTCCCTGCCCTTCCGTCTCCTGCTTCTTCTCCTCTTTCTCTCCCTGTGGCCGCCCTGCTTCCTCCTCTGACTTCTCTAATTTTCCCACTCCTTCAACACTGCTGCTTCCCAGCTTTCCCTCCACGTGGTCTCATCCAGACCTGTGGCCCATCTCTGTGCTAATGGTCCCCAGATGGATGATGTTTTCTTCTAGGCTCCAGGTGCAGGTATGCATAAGCTTCCTGCTTCATCTCCATCTTTATCTAGATGTTCAGAATCACCTGAATTTCAACCAACAGGCCTTAAAACGAAATCGCTCTCTTTCTTGTTCCAACCCTATTCCTGGATTTCCTGTCTAAATAAAGGTAATCACTGGAAGTTGATATCTCGAGCTAGAAATGTTGACTCGTCACTCTCCTTAACCTGTCCCTCATCAGAGCTACTATTATTGTATGTTCGCTCTGTGTGCTAGGCCTTTGCTATAGTCTGAATGTTTTTGTCCCCCATACATTCATTTGTTGAAAATCTAATGCCCAATGTGATGGTATTAGGAGGTGGACACTTTGTGGGGTGATCATGTCATGAGGGCAGAACCCTCATGAATGGAATTCCCGCCCTTGTTAAAGAGGCCTCGGAGAGCTCCCTTATACAGCTTCTGCCATGTGAGGACACAGCAAGAAGACCACTCCAAGGAAGTGGGTCCTCACCAGACCCGGAACCTGCTGGTGCCTTCCTCTTGGACTTCAGAACTGTGAGAAATAAATTTCTGTTTGTAAAGCACCTAGTCTGTGACATTTTATTATACAGCCTGAATGGACTAAGACAGAATTGTTTATACATATACATATACATGTACATGTACATGTACACACATACATACATACATACATACATACACACATACAGAGAGCAAGTGTGCAGGAGTGGGAGAGAGCTTAGTGTTAACCTCCAACATTTTTTTTTTTTACATCACATTATATTATAATTACAATTGCTTATTTGTTTCTGCCTGCCTGTTCCTTGAGGGCAAGAATAGTGTATTATTCCTCCTTGAATCTGGATTTCTTCCTAGTGGAGACTGTTTCTAGAGGGCAGTTAATGGTTTTGCTGAGTAAATACATGTCTCTGGAAATTCTTGTTGAAAAGCAAGCACTGGAAGCAATAATCTGGTCACGCTGACCGGTGCTGGTGTGTGGTACTATGCTGAGTCTGAGACCCTCCATGCTGCACCCTGAGGCCCGGAGATACTCTAGAACAAAGGGATAGAAAACAGCACCAAGGTTGGTAGGCTGAGCAGCCAGTTGCTAGTGACATGGACCTTTCTCCTTTGCAGATACCTTTGTCTTCCTGCCATATTCAATTTGACTCTTTATTCCATTCCATCCCTTTTATTATCTTGGACTATAATAGCTCCTCTGCTTTATGCTTTTTCCTTATTTAAGCTTTATAGAAAGGACCAGGATACTCCAAGCTAAAATATGCCACTTTGGTATAAATCTTTTTTTGAGCTAAAGGCAGTTGAGAAAAAGCAGACTCAGAAAGTGCTCTCTGCTCTTCCTCTATCTGCCCCAAAATAGGGTATAAATTTCCTTTGTGCTGGCGGCTTCCTCCCACACTAGGAAGACGTGAACAACACTTACCACTGGAAACAGAAATGACACAAAGGTAAGACTGCATGAACAAACCTTGCTAACAGACCTCATCTTCCATTAGTTTCCCCCGTATACTTCCCAGTCACTTTCCCACAATTTATTGGGCATAGAAGCCCAGCCCTTCTTAACTTTGTCCAGTTACTTCTCCACAATTAATTGTTCTTTTTAAAAATGGTATGTAATCTCCTGAGTCTTACTGCTTCTCTGGGGTTTTTGCTTTTTTTCTATAAAGCCCAGTGCAGGTAAAATTTAAAATATTACTAAATTTGTATGCCTTTTTTTTTTTTGTTAATCTGTCATTTGTCAGTTTAATTCACAGACCTCAGGCACTGAATTTAAGAGGGTAGAGGAAAATTTTTTTCTTCCCCCTACCTGGATAACCTAAGGGATAAACATCGCTGTGACTATTGTGCAGACAACTGAACTGAGGCTCAGGGAAGTTATAATAACTGTGTGTGGAAGAGCCAGGACAAGTGTCAAAGCCCTTTTACCTTCTTTGTTCCTTTCTTTGCTAATGCCTAAAAGTTCATTTAGTGACCCTGAATTCCAGGGAGTTGCTGGCATCTGTTCATGTAGTTTCTCATGTTGAATGAATGTCAGCTCTGAAAAAAAAAGCACACCTAGGAACAGCCCTGAAAAATTCCCAGCCAGACCCAATCAGAACAACCTGGCATTTCCCAGTGATGCAACTCCTTCTGGAGCTCTGTGGCACCCAGCCCTGGACCAGGCAGCATTAATCAGTCGGTGAGTTTTGGTTGATGACATGAGACTGGTTTGCATAACCTGCTGCACTGGCGCAAGCACCCAGGCCACCATCTAACAAGGGCTCTGGGACCTAGTTAAAGAAAAAAGACATCCTTTGGTATGAACTGCATCCAGGATCCAAATTTCCCCTATTCTTTCTTTCTCACCCAGTCTGCAAGTAAATACTGTATCCTTGCCTCGAACCAGTGAGACAAAAGCAGAAGATAGTCTAGCTTTTGAGTGACAGGGCAAGTCAGAGGCCAAAACAGGTTTGGTTAAAAGAGACTTTTCAGGTTTGTCAACCCAAGAAGAACTCAAGAAGGAAAAACAAGAGACTTAAAGAGTGTCATTAAAAATCTTATTGGGTTCCAATAACACGACGGCTTCAGTTAAGAAGCTTGCCAAGGAGGCCAGGAAAGGGTATTATTTCCGTCTTAAACATAGATGAAACTTCTGCTCACCTGGAAGCCAGTGTTTCTGTAGCCCTCAGCTCCGGTGGCAGTCACACTCTTCAGCTCCATGGCCTCTTTGCTGCTTATGGAATTGGCTGGACTCTGAGTTCCTTTCAGATGTCTTGTCTGGAGCTCCCCTGTACCCGTGAAAAGGAGCACAGCCTCTGCTGATGTCAGAATGCCACCTGCTGTTGTAGGAACCTTGGCACTGCTTCAGTTTGGAAATTTCAAGAGGGGTGGGGTGGAGGCTTTCATTTCAGGTCCGCCTACTTCATTAATCCTTCCCATTTCCCAATGATTGCCAGCCCATGTTTGCTCAGGGAAGAAAAGTCTTATACTGCACAAAACAGAAAGGACACTTTCTTTACAGCCACAAGTGAAATAATCTATTCCTCGTGGGTGGTGTTGGGGACTAGGAGTGCTGGGGGTGGCAGGGAACATTAGGCCTGGCTGTAATCAAGTGACCACTGTGCTGTACCGAGTACATGCTTGGTACTTATGGTGGTGGTCTTGGTTTATTTTCAGAACGTGGGAAAACTGAGCTGTGAGAAAGTTAACAATTTGCTCAGCGTCATTTGGTTAATAAAGGCACAATGAACAGAAAAATTCAGTCCTAGTAGATTCCAAAGTCTTTTCACTTCATCCCTATAGGCAGATAGGGTTGCTTTTAAAAAATCCAACTCCTAGAAATGCAAATATGTGGCAGATATGAAAGGTGATCAACAACTCACTTAATAAAAGCATTCATTGCTTTATGAAGTTATTAGCTGTAGGAGTCTTCCAAAATATCAGTTTCCCCTAGTACATTTAGAATAACTTATTATGTATCTCTTGATTATGATAATTGTGTGGCCTATGTGGAAATGTGAAAAATGCTTATGATAAGTGAAAAACTAGAATTAATAAAGTGAAAACGCCATACAGTGGACAAAAGAAGGAAGTAAATTATCAAATATTGCTAGTGGCTATTTCTGGGTTGTAGTTTTATGGGTGGTTGTTTTTTCTCCTTTACACGTTGCTGAGTTTTTGATAAAGAACACTATATGATTATTATCATAATATAGCCTACACACACACACACACACACACACACACACACACACACACACACACACACACTGGTTAAGAGCTTGCTGAAACCACTGCCTGGGCTCAAATCTGGCTCTATCACTTACTATACCAAACTACAGCTCAAGAGCTAAGACCAGCCTGCTAACTGTTTTATACAACCTGAGAATTAAGAATGGGTTTTAGATTTTTAAATGGTTGAAAAAAATCAAAAAGACAAATATTTCATAACACTTGCAAACTATGTGAAATCCAAGTTTTAGTGCCAATAAATCAAATTCGTCAGAACACAAATACACCCATTCATTTTATTGTCTTTGGTCGTTATTGCTCCACAAAGGCAGAGATTGTATGGCTCAAAGGTTAAAATGTTCACTTCCTGGTTCTTTACAGAAATTCTGTGCTGATCCCTGACTTACTAGCCGTGTGAATTTGGACAAGTTACTGTGTTCTTTGGGCTTCTGATTCTTCATCTACAAAATGGGAATAATAATAATACCCATTTTACATTATTATCGAAATGACAAAATGTGTTAATATACTTAAAAACACATGGAGTAATGTCTGGAATATAATAATTTATTGTTATAAAAATTATCTTTCAATGTTAAAAAAAAAAAAAAGCACAATGATCTCTAAACGGTGATTTCCCTGTGTTTTAGGTACATCTTTCTACCTGAAGCCAGATACGTCTAGGGTCAAGCAACTGTTATGTTTCATTTGCATAGGAAAGCATAGCAGCTCCCCACTGGACTGGGGCTCAGGCCAGTCTCTCCCCAAATCCCCACCATATTTTCATTGTAGGAAAAAATGACCCCTTCTTCTCACTTACTTTGTGTTCCTGGACCCCTATTCCAAATCCTTCCCATTTATCAACGCCATCCACGCTTCCTTCATGCTTTAGCTCTTTATTGATTTTTTTAAATTGATTTTCTGATGAATGGAGACTTGGGATTTTTTATCAGTTCTTTCCCCATAATTGCGATATGCCACAATAAGCAGTTAACATGTTACTAAACGCAAAAAGTCTGACAAAAAATGATCAAGAGAGGTGCAGACAAATAGAAGGCAGATAATGTACAAAACTTACACGGTAAAGTTGTTGGAGCAAAGAAGTTGTAGCAACCAGATAGTATAACCTTCGTGAACTCAAGACTCAACCTAGTTTAAGGGTATAGAGGAAACTTACTCTCAAGAGGAAAAGAAATACCTTCATTCTGCCATTTATTGTTATCATTGCAGAAACTTGACTCAAATGCCTAACATTCTTAAAAATAGTGTTATATGAATCTTTTAAAATGCAACAAACCAATGTTTATTCCTGCCCCTCAGCTATAGACCGTAAGTTTGAAAAGAGTACATCATCGTGCAAGTGAGAACACTGTATGGTGTTGATTGAAAGACATAGTGACCTGCCCCTTCCATTCTCCAGCTATACCTCCTAAAAGGAAAAATTGAGACCTAATTAAAGTAAATTGCACATACGACTGTGATACTAAAATGCAAATGTGATGGTTATATACAGAGAAGTTTTAACTTTAAAAATGTTGGCTTTCTGAAGCCCATAGTAACAAGCTTTTAGAACTAATGAAAATTCAGACTTTCTTTGCGGCATAAGAATTAACTTGATTTATGAGGCTTTCTCTTAAAATGATGATACCTTGGTACAAGCAATAGCTCATTTTGCCTAATTTGGAAATAGAAATTGTGATCAGAAAATGAGGTGGAAGACCCTTTGAACTTTACAAGACTATATTTTAAATCATTCCATAGTCATGCAGAATCATTATTTATAAAGAACAGCTTGTGCCAATGCCCAAGAAATGGTCTCTTAACTCCTTTGAGTCTGAGTTATTTTCATTGCTGTGTCCCTCAAACTCAGTTTTAAACATTGAAGCCGTTATGTGGCACCCAAACTACTGAGCTTTTTTTATTAAACGATTTCTACATCCTATCCATTCCCCAAGCATTGGCTTATAAAGACTGAGAACCCATGGGCTGTACATGTTCAAGCTCATTAAAGAAAAACAAAACAAAAACAAAAGCCCCCCAACCCTTCCAAATTTATTAAAAACATAAAAGTAAAAAAAAATTTAAATACGTAGCAATAGATCTTGCCTTATGCATGTACTTCTATATTAAGGTCACTCTTTCTTTTGGTGATGTGTTCCCATGTTGAGAATGATGTATACGTTATAACATGATTTTTATCCACTCCTCACCGTCCTCACTGTATTACAGATTAACGTTCGTTTGTTTATCTTGAAGTAGTTTAATAAACTACTCTTTCTTTTGGTGATGTGTTCCCATGTTGAGAATGATGTATATGTTATAACATGATTTTTATCTACTCCTCACCGTCCTCACTGTATTACAGATTAACGTTTGTTTGTTTATCTTGAAGTAGTCTGATAAACTAAAAATGTAATCTTGGATGATTTACAAAGCTTAATCTAATTAGCCCACTCCAATTATTCAGATTATCTGAGTGAAAAAAAAAACAAACAATAAAAATGTGTATTTGAAATAGAAAATACTTTGAGATTGGTTTTTCCAACAATATCATTTTTGTGGTTAGAGTTTGTTTTTCAACACTCTCACAATATAGCAGGTGCTAGGAAAGGCCAGCCTGAGCACTTACGGCAGCCAAAGACTAGCCGTAGAATCTGTTGCTTGGGTAACGGTGGTTAAAGATTGTTTGGCTGTCTGTATTATTTTAGTTAGAATCCTGGGAAGGATGATCTTGGTGCAAAGAGAGACCAGCAAAGAAACAAGAGAACTAGCATCTGTTGAGCACTACCATGTGCCTGTTAGATATTTACCTTGTTTCCATTTCTTCTTCACTACAGCTCTGCAAATGAAGCATTAATTTCCCCATTTCACAGAGGAAAAACCTGAGGCTCAGGAAGATAAAGTAACTTTTCCGAGAACACAACTAGCAGGTGGCAAAACTATAATCTGAGCCATGTCTCTGAAACCTAGTCCTGTCAAGAGCTAAATTCTGAAAAGAAATAAAGCCCAGAGGAAGTGCAAATGAGTTAGTACCCATTAGTGCTTATTCTGTTAGCCGGGAAAGCAGACCACATGCAAGGTGAATGCAAAAAGGTTAATAAAGTGGAAGAACAATGAGATTGTCAGGACAAGGGAGTTTAGTCCATCTTTGAAATTTTCAAAACAATTGCCAGTACTTAGTTCAGGTGGTTCTAAGAAGGTCCGAGTACTGGCCTGCCATACTGATTCCATAGGAAATGAAGCCTTACACTTGCAAGTGACAGGAGGGCAGGGACTGTACCCATCCTAGCCTCTGCTTTCTCCTCCGTGCTTAGCATAGTGCTTGGAACAGAGTAGGTTCAAGGCTGGGTAGCTTGTCCATTGACCAAAGGAAGAAAATGGAGATCCCTACATTCCCATGTATCCCAGGAATATGGATGAGTTGCACAATAAGGTGTTTGGGAGGCCAGTTCACAGTGGCCACGATGATCCAAGAACCATGTCTGGGAGGAGGGTGAAGTAGACAAAGAGCCCAGGGTGCAAATTTGAAGGGAGCACCCACTCTTAGGTGCTGACTGACCCTGAACTTGCATGACAATGAGAATGAGGGCTTCCTTAAATTTACTCCCTAGACACCTTGCCCAGCTCACTCTACTCCTAGCCCTGCTGTGAATAATCTATGGGGTTGTTTCGGATGAGTGTAATGTAGCAGTTAGGAGTGCATGCTGTGGACTGAGCCCAGCTTCCAGTCCAGGCTTCGCTTTTCAGTAACACTAACAAGCTGGAACCTCAGGCAAGGTACTCATCGATAATATCTCTAAACATCTGTTGTTACATGCAAAACCAGGTTAATGGTTGCACCTATTTTACAATGGGCCTGCTGCGAGGGTTAAATGAGGTACAGTATGAAATGTCGTCTGGCACTATACACTCCAGATTCCAGAGGAAACCTTCCAGCAGCTGCCCCAAAAGGCAACTCAGAGTGACTCCTAGGGCTCAGTACGTGTCTA